ACAGAAAAGACAGAGTTCCCAGAATGCTATTTCTTCCCTTCCTGAAAAAGCAGCTTTCTCCTCCCCTCTCCTCTCCTCCCCCCTCCTCTCATCGCTCCTCCCCTCCCTCTCCTTCATCCCCTCTTCTCCCTTCTCCTCCTCTCTCCTCCCCTTCCTTCCCCTCCTCTTTTCTCCCCTCTCCCCTTTCCTCTCCTCTCTCTCTCTTTCCTCTCCCCTCTCCCCTCCCCTCCCCCCCCCCCCCCCCCCCCCCCCCCCCCTCTCCCCCCTCCCTCCTCCCCTGGCCATTCAGTCCCTGAAAGGTGGCTGATCCAAACTGAGACAGGCTGATCTGTAAAACATTTACCACATCTTATTGACTTACTATGAAAAATAGTGTAAAAATAATAATTTTTTAAGATATCAATTATGTTTTGGGATGATAATGATTATATCATTGAAGACAATTCCACTCTCTTTCTAAAATTATTTATTCATTTTTTGTTTTCTTGAAATAGTCTCATGTAACCCAGGCTGACCCTGAACACCAGTAGCCAAGAATGATGATGAATTCCTGGTCCTTTTGCCTCTGCATCCCATGTGCTGGGATTATATACATGTGCCACACACTATGCTGTCCTTTTTATATATGTGCAGTGGTGTTTACATTCTTGTATGCCTATGTCAGGGTGTTGGATCCTGGATTTGCAGACAGTTGTAAAGTGCTGGGAATTGAACTCAGGACCTCTGGAAGAGCAGTCAGTGTTCTTAACCACTGAGCCATCTTTCCAGTCTCCCTTTAAAATTCCTTTTTAATCTTAGATTTGCTAAGAATGGAACACAGGACCTTCTGCAAGATACACTGAGGGACACCTCCCCCAGTCCTCCTGATTGTTTTTAGTGTAGCTAGAAAACAATGTGAAGTTACATGTGTGGCTCACATTTCTGGTTCATATGTGGACAGGAAATGTTTACTGTGCAGTTGTGGAGGTCAGAGGACAACTTTTGGGAATCAGTTCTTTTTCCACCATGTGTGTCCTGAAAACGGAATTCACCCACTGGGCAATCCCGACAGCCCTATTACATTTTAGTGTCTGATACAAGGCTCACTACACTCCTGTAGGATGGATGTTGTGACTATCGTTTCTTTACAAAAAAGTAAATCCGAGGGAGAGCATGACCTGCCCAAGGTCACAGCTGGGCACTCACTCACAGATTCCAGTTTCCAACCAATGTTGTGTGACTCCAAAGTCTATCTTTGCTACCCAGGTTACGATGCAGTGTGTCTAGAGCCGTAGTGCACTTGATTAGACCGTCTATCAGTGATAAAGAGTCATTCTAATCAGAACCCAGACTGAATGCTTGTCTTTCATGAAGGCAAAATGAGAAAACAGATTAACATAAGCAACGCATTGCTATCTGTTGACTCTTGGGATGTGCGGGTGAATAACAGGCTGAGGAGCACTGCTCTGATCAAGCATCTCATCTTTCAAGTGTGGAAACCGATGCGCGGGAGGACGGTGGGTTTACCAAGAGCTCCTCTATGCTGGCAATCCTTGGAGTTGTGTTTGCGGGAATCCTAGGGTGAGATTCCTTGAGGACTTCAGTCTTTACTAGAAAGGTTCTGTCCCCAGCCACTTGGAAGCCTTTTTCTTGAGCCAGTCCCCTTCCTCCCCTAAGATTGTCTCAAAGACAAGAACGAGGAGGGGGACAACCAAGCCACTTCCCATCATGGTCCCAAGGCCACCATCCGGTCTTGGGCCAGGAATTCCTTTCAGAGACTTAAACCGGGGCGAAAATTATTGTGAACCTTTGCAGGTCTCGAAGGACAGTCTGCTCCATTTCTCTCCCGACTTAGCTGACTCAGTCTCCCTCAGTGTCTTTCCCGAGGTGGGCCTAGACCTTGCAGCTCTGCCCCCATCTGCTCTCACGCGTGGTGGGGAGGTGTTGGAACAACCATCTACCTCCCCTGTGCCCTCTTCCCAGCCCTGTCCAATGAGGCTGGAGAAACGGCAACAGAGGCCACGCTGAATCCATCTGGCCCTGGAACCCAGGAAGCCACAGGCAGAGGCTGAGAGGGCGCCACTGAAATAGAGGCGCAGAAACAAAGGCTCACAAAGAATGCCTTGGACAAAGAGGGAGACTCGGAAAAAGGCCTCGGGAGAGGGGCGAAGGGGCCAGAAATGAGGGAAAGAGATGGGAGAAGCAGAAGAGAGGGAGAAAGGAGGGGGAAGATGGAGAAGTCGGAGTTTGAGAAAAGGGGCGGAGGACGGAGGCAGCGCTGGCAGGAGACTGGGGGGGGCGGGGC